ATCAGTTGACTGGATCTAAGGTTTCCAAAAAAAAAAAAAAAAAAAAAAAAAAAAAAAAAAAAAAAAAAAACATGAAGAAAAAATAAACGAAAAAGGAAGGAAAGAAGGATCAGAATATAATATTTAACAGTCTGCATCAGTGAGTTTAATCAATGCATGAAAACAAAGCCTTTTAGTAAAACCCTTCAGCTGAATAAATAAAAATACGAATCCTCTTGAATATAAAGAGCTACAGACCCTTGCAAATCATGATATATCAGTAATCTTCCACTTGGTTAAAAAATAAATAAAGAAAATGTCTTTTATTATCAATGAAAATGATGATTATGAAAAAATAACAAAGAAAAACGAATGTTTTGAAGATAATGCAATGATCCGATCAAAAACAACAAGAGCGCCTTTCGACATGATTTTTTTCTCTTACGAAAGTAAAAAAAAAGGTAAATATAGAAAAGAGATCAAACAGAATCCCTGGACATCGATTCTTTGTAAGAAAATCAGGCATATCAGAAACCATTTCCTGACTAAAAGTGTAAAGTGACATTATTTTTCAAAACAAATCACTGCTATGCATTTAGCTTAGCTTTCAGCCAAGATATTAATCCTCACAAATATCAAGTAGTTTTTCTTATCTGAACTGATCCGTTGTCTCCGCCACTACAGGGATGGATGTTTCGTTTAAAATAAAGATACTTATAAGACAATGTTTTCAGAAAGTTGTTCGTTATATGACGCGGATCAAAAATAATGCAGTGGTAAAGCTGAGTGCCCGTGAGAGAGATATACTTTTTATCATCGACTTGACGAGACTAAAAACTTTTTTTTTAACTGTCGGAACTAGATAAGTTGTAGATATTCGTTACTGAGAATAGCGGTGAATGTTTTATACGCGGTTTTATAAACATACTGTATGTTTTTTTTCTTTTCTTTCTTTTTTTTTTTTTTCTTCTTTTTTTTTTCTCTTTTTATTTAATTTATTTAATTTTATTTTCTCTTCTCTCCATCACTCTTTGTTTTGTTCAAACTTTTTTTGCTTCATATATTATAGAACTTTTGATACTGATTGGAATGGGATTTTTGGGATCTTTTGAAGTCAGTTGCTTTTGTAAATGTTAGTAAAAAAAACTAATTTTTGGACAGGGACGGCATTTGAAAGGCCCTTGAATTTTCGTTTTCAGAAAACTCGAGCAGCTAGAGTTTAGTTGAAAAGCCAGCATTTTTATTATTTTTCGAATGAAACTTCCTATTTATCTTATTCATCATGTACTCTTTTTTTATTGGCACTACTTGCATCATATTTATCAAAATGAAACTTCAATTTAAAAAACTTGACACTCGAAGGACAAACACCAAACTCTACTTTGAAGCGACGACGCGATACGATCTTTCGTCAGCAGATTATTGAA